GACCAGTCGTTCTGCCATTTGGTCGATTTGCATATTAACCTTTTATTATATAGGATGATCCTTTGTATATCTGTGATGTCTGTGGTGACTTCTCTCTCATTTCTGATTTTGTTTATATGGGTCCTTTCCTTTTTTTCCTTTGTGAGTCTTTCCTGGGGTTTGTCAATTTTATTAATCTTTTCAAAGAACCAGCTTTTTGTTTTATTGATTTTTTTTTGTATAATCTTTTTGTTCTCTATTTCATTTCATTCTGCTCTATTTCCTTTCTTCTGCTGACTTTGGGTTGCTTTTGTTCTTCTTTTTCTAGTATTTTAAGATTTTATGCTAGGTTGTTTACTTGTGATTTCTCTTGTTTCTTGAGATAGGCCTGTAATGATATAAACTTCCCTCTTATTACTGCTTTTGCTGCATCCCAGAGGTTTTGCTATGACGTATTATTATTCTCATTTGTCTCTATATATCTTCTGATCTCATATTTTATTTCTTTTTTGACCCAGTCATTTTAAGTCAACATTAGTATGTTGTTTAATCTCCATGTATTTGTGGGTTTCTTTACTTCCTTTTTACAGTTGATTTATAATTTCAAGGCACTGTGGTCAGAAAATATGCTTGGTATAGTTTCAATCTCTTGAATTTGTTGAGGCTAGTTTCGTGACCCAACATCTGATCTATCCTTGAGAATGTTCCATGTGCATTAGAGAAGAATGTATAAACTGATGTTCTGGGATGAAATGTTCTGTAAATGTCAATTATGTTCATTTGATCTAGTGTTTCATTTAAGTCCAATATTTCTTTATTAATTTTCTGTTTGGTTGATCTGTCTAGAGCTGTCAATGGAGTATGAAGTATTCAAGTCTCCAACTATGATTGTGCTTTGATCTGTTTCTCCCTTTAGTTATGTGAGTAGTTGTTTTATACATTTTGGTGCTCCCTGGTTGGGTGCATACATATTAAGAAGTGTTATGATATGCATTTCTTTCAACAATAAAGATTTATTTAAAAAAAAAGAAGTGTTAGTTTTATTGATGTATTATTCCCTTTATCATTATAAAGTGTCCATCTGTCTCTTGTTATCTTTGTTATCTTGAAATCTATTTCTTCTGATATAAATATGGCCACACCTGCATTTTTGTGGATGTTGTTTGCCTTAAGAATTATTTCCCACCTTTATAATTTGAATCTACCTTTGTCTTTGCAGCTTACATGTGTTTCTTGTAGGCAACTTATGGTTGAGTTTTGGTTTTTGATCCACTTTGCTACTCTGTGCCTCTTTATTGGTGAATTTAGACCATTTACATTATTTACTCTTACGTAATTATTCATGCATGAGGATTTCCTATAGCCATTTTATCTTTTGTTTACTGTTAGTTTTGTGCCTCCATTGGTTCTTTTCCGCTATGTTTCAGTCTCTTGTTTTTGTTTGGTGGTTCTCCATACATCTTTCCTCTGTTTCCTCTTTCTTTCTTTTTTTAAAAAATTGGTAAGCCTTTTTAAAATTTTTATTTTATTGTTTAAAGTATTACAAATAGTAGTACATATGTCTCCATTTTTTTTCTTCATTGACCTTCCCCCTGTTTCTTCTTTTTTTAAGCTATATGCCCTGGTTTGGGGATTTTTGTGTGTGGTTACCATTAGGTTCATAAAATATGAAGTTTCATATATTCTGTAGTTTTTTTCTCTTTTGAGTGAAAAAACTATGGTGTATATGCCAGTATATACATATTCCTTTGCCAATTCAGACCTTTTCTACCTCTCCTTTTATGATTTGTCGTCACAAATTATCCCTGTTTTTGCTGTAAGATTTTTGGTGATCTTACTCATAGTGTTGTGACCTTATGTTCTTTGTTTCAGATAGAATAACTCCTTGAGTATTTCCTGCAATAGAGTTTTTCTGGTGATAAAACCCATCAGCTTCTGTATGTCTTGGAATGTGTTTATTTCTCCATATTTAAAGGATAATTTTGCTGGATATATTATTCGTGGCTGGGAATTTATCTCTTTCAGACATTTGAATATTTGGTTCCACTCTCTTCTGGCTTGTAGAATTTCTGCTGAGAAGTAAGATGAAATTCTGATGGGTTTTCCTTTGTAGGTCACTTCCTTATTTTTCTTGGCTGCACTGAGAATTTTTTCTTTGTCATTAATCTTTGACAGTTTTAATACAAAGTGTCTTGGAGAGGGTCTCTTTAGATTGAGGTAACCAGGTGTTCTGTTTACTTCTTGAATTCGAGGATCTAGTTCTTTCCATAGATTTGGAAATGTGTCATCCACTATTTGTTTGAATAGACTCTCTATTCCCTTCTCCCTTTCTTCCTCTTTTTGAATGTCTATTATTCTAATATTGCTTTTTCTTATGGAGTCAGATAGTTTTTGTAGAGCTCTTTCATTTTTCTTTATTCTCGGGTCTCTCTATTTTTCCATCTGCGTCATTTCTATCTTAGATATCACTAATTCTTTTCTCCATCTGGTTGACTCTTTTCTATGCTCAGTAGTTTACTCTTAATCTCCTTGATTGCAAGCTTCATTTCCAGGATTTCTGATTGTTTCTTTTTTAAAGTTTTAATCTCCCTGGTAAAGTACTCATTTTGTTCATTGCTTTGTTTCCTGAGTGCATTGAATTGCCTGTCTGTATTTTCTCACATCTCTTTGAGTATTTTCAGAACTGAAATCTTGAAATATCTGTCATTTGTATCACATATTTCCATGTGTTCCAGCCTGCTTTCTGGGTGTGGGGAGCCAATGTAGGGTTAAGCCTGTTGGCAAAGTCACAAACAGGTCTTCCGCGTCTTAAACAACCCTATCTGAGAGGTGGCCGCTGATTTACACGTGCTATCATTTAAAAAATAAAAAAGGGGGAATTTGCCAGAAGCCAGTCCATCCTTGCTGCTTGACACAGTCGCTGCAGGGAAGAAACATCTGCACAGCATGTTTCAAGGGACCTGGCGTATATGGCATACTGTTCTTAATATGTTTGCTCCCCTTCTTAGCTCTATGTGTTTTAACCAAGGTCACCTCTCTGAGAAAGGTTGTTTCCCCAGGTGGGGATTTTCCCCTGGAGTTAGGGATTAACAGGACTAAGGAAGGAAATAAAACCCCTTAACTAAGTGCCAGGCGGGTAATTAATCACTTAAACTAGGAACAATCAAACAATAGGGCTTAAGCTACATAATCTTTACTTAGGATAATCTCCTTCAGTTACTTCCTTGTAGCTTAACAGAACAATAGATTAGTGACCTTGGAATGGAGATAACAAATGCCCTAACCTTTGGAATAGAATGGATAGGATTAAAATCAAATGGTATAAAAACAGATGTAACAGGACAATAAAGAGAGAACCTGGCTAGAACCTGGCTAGAGAACCTGGCTAGGCTGCTGATCAACTGAACGCTGTCTTCGTGTCATTCCTTCTTCGCCGACTCTGTCCATACCTTTGGGAACCCCTGGACCTGCTGGGGCTGGACCCCAACAGGGGAGGGGGCGGCTGCCCTGGCGGAGGTGAGGGATGGAAACCTGCGAGGCGCTGTCTGTCTTCAGGGCAGGAGTTGGGGCATGGAAACCCACCAGGAGATGGGGGTTATAGATCAGCACTGGGCTGTGCCTGTTCCGCTCCCGAAACCGCAGAACAAGTTTGGAGAAATGCACCTGCCTCACATATGCCTGTTCGGAGAAGGTGTAGAACCTTCCACCAAAGGCTCCATGGCTCAGAGGGCTGCATGCTTCTTGGGGACGCTTGCGGATCAGGAGCATTGGACTCCTGCCTCCCTCCCTGCCAGCGCTCCCGCAGCGCCCGCCGACGTGCAGCAGGATTGGCAAGCTCTCCCTGGGGTAATAGATCAGGACTCAGGTAATAGCGGAAAGCGCCAATCCTACTCTTAAAATGGATACAAGAGAGCATTTGGTCTGGTCATCGTCATTACTGTGGTTCTTCGTGATATTTGCTGTCCTTTTTTACTTTTGCATTTACCTCTGAAGAGGTCTTTCTACTATTTTCCGGTAGATGGTGCTGAATTGCTAGATTTTTTTTTACCTCTGTGTTCCAGTTTTGAACATCCACAGCTTCCTTAAGACAGTATAGCTGCACTGCTTGGGGGTGAGGGTTGTTTTGCTCTCACTGTAATGGTGAACCCTGACCTCCATGGGGTCCCACCTCAAGCACCCCTCCTGGGTATTAGTCACAGAGGGAAACAATGATACTACTGCAACAGCTCTTGGTTTACAGATAGTATGCTCCTGGACCCAAAATTCGGGAGGTGAATTTTGGGAGTCCAAGCAGTGTCAGGGCTCTCTGGTTCTGTTTCTTTGAAACAATACCACCCAGTCTGAGAATGGGGAGACACATGGCAGAACCCCATGCTCTGTCAGGTGTCTGCTGACTCAGACACTGTTCACTCTCTCTGCGCACCACTCGCCCTGCTGGGCTGCCACCTCCCCACAGCTCTCTGCTCCTCCTGGCCAAAATAAGTGTCTGCTACCACCTGCTAAGAAAGGCTCTCCCAGCCGAGCCTTGAGCTCCCAGCTGCAGGGCTGTGTCTGTGGGCCATCTGCACTTTCCTACCTTCTCATCTACACATTTATTCCTAGTTGCTCATTTTTAGATGTTTCATTGTGCAGGTCTCTCAGGCATTCATCTGTGTTGAGGAGGGGTTTTTTTTTGTTGAATTATAGATGGATAACTTGTTGAAATGTCAGGGGGAGAGCAAAAGATACACCTTTATGCCACCATTCCTCTGACATCACTCCTGGGTCTCTTGCATTTACATATGAATTTTTGAATCAGCCTGACAATTTCTGAAAACATCATGCTGAAATTTTCATAGATAAATTTGGGGAGAATTGTGATGTTAATATTGAGTCTTCCAACCATGAACATGCAATCTCTCCCCATTTATTCAGATCATCTTTAATTTTCCTAGGCATCAATTTGTGTTTCTCAATGCATGTCTTACATTTTGTATCTTAAATATATGCCTAAGCATTTTATTATTTTTGCTCCTCTTTTCACTAATTTTTTTTACTTAATTCCATTATTGGATTATTCACTACAGGTATATAGAAGTACAATTTATTTTATATATTGATTTTGTACTCTGGCCACCTTTTAAAACTTGTTTATTAGTTCTAATAGATTTTTTTGGATTACTTAGGATTTTTTGCATAGAAATCATGTCACCTGACAATTAAAAGTTTTGCATTTTTTTCCTTTCTATGGGAGTGCCTTTTATTTATTTCTCCCTGTTTAAACTGGCTCAAACCTCCAGTGCAATGATAAATAATAGCAGCAAGCTTGTCTTGGTTCCTGATCTTAGGGGGAAAGTATGCAGTATTTCATCACTAAATATGGTGTTAGCTGTAGGCTTTTCATAGATATTCATTGTTGTGCTGAGGAAGTTTTCTTGTACTAGTTTGTTGAGTATTGTTATCATGAAACGTGGTTGGATTTTGTCAAATACTCTTTCTACATCTGTTGATAAGTTATTATGTGTTTTCAGTCCTTCTACTAATATATTGTATTATATAATTTGATTTTTACATGTTAAACCAACCTTGTGAGGAAAGGAAAGGGGGCTTACACTCCTCTCACTAAATCAGGAATCATGGAAGAATAATGAGCCTATCTAAATTCCTCCTATGGCAAACCATGGGGGATAGTCATATATATATGACCTACAAACTTTTGAAACTAAAGGTCAGTGGTTACAGAAACAGTGTCTGCTCTTTCTACATCCAGATAAAATGCATGTCAGAGTTTCAAGGCAATTTATTTTATTTTATTTATTTTTTATTTTTTTTATTGCTTAAAGTATTACAAAAGGTATTACATATGTGTCCTTTTTTTCCCCGCCCTTGACAATCCCCTGGCCTCCCCTAGCCCCCAGTGTCTTATGTCCATTGGTT